TAACAGTGAGTAGGGAATGTGCCAAAACTTAAAACCCAGAGAACAAATGGTGGAGTTTAGCTGCTTTAAAAAGTCATATTTAGGTGAAATAGTAAAGATTTTAAAAAAACCAAACAAACCCCCAACCAGACCAAACCAAACGAACAAACAAAAAACAACCCCAAAAAAGGCAAAACAAACAAACAAACTCAAGAGATAGAGATATACTTTTTCTCCCTTCCATCTCACCTCACTCTCCCAGGAAATAAATTCCTATTTCTGAGGTGGAAATGAAACCTAGAAATGTGCTTTGCACATTTAAATATGTTCTCATTTAAAAGCTATCCGACCCTTTTGTGGTGGTTGTTACAGATAAGCCCAGTTAGCTTAAGTTTTGTTGGCATAGCAAAATGCTGTCAAACGCTTTAGAGGTATCAAATGTTGAATATTAAAAAAATAAAGATCACCTTACTGACGTAGTGCCAGTTCTTCAGCAGAGCTCCGCTTTGAATTTGCAGATGACGAGCGTGTAGCTCTGTAGTAACACTACGTAGGTAGTGCTGGTATTAAGCTAACACTTCAGCTATTTTTCGCAGGCATTTTAGGAAGTTAACGTTTGAAGATGGCTTGTGTGGTGCTTATGGTGTGCTTTATGTGAGAAACAGGAGGCCCCTTTCGGAAACGTGGCCTGAAGTTCGTTTGGTGTCAAAGCACATGTGCCCAAGAACCGCAAACCGGTGCCGTACATTCTGCGTTAGCAGTCTGCATGCACGCCTCACTAACGCTCCTGGGCGCCTCGCCCCTCTACAAGGCTCATGATGATCTTGGCTGTCTTTTGTTCTTTTCTTTCAAAATATTTTTAAAATTTAAATGAAATGTTTCTATTCCTTCTCATCCTGTGAATTGGTCAGAGCATGATGAGTATTTAGCTAACAGACCGAGCTCGATCACTAGGCGATGGCAAATGTCTCCCCACCAAGCTTTCGTTTCTTTCTTTTTCATAATCAGTCTTGCAAGTCCTACGCCTGCTGTCTCTGTATTATGAGGAACGGGGGAGTGAGAGTTTCTCATAGCACTCTTGCTTTATTTTTTTATTTCCAGAGCTATCTAATGCTTTCTCGATGGAAACTATTATCTGTGGAAATTTAATATCTTTTTGTCTTTTTATAATCAGTTTCCGGAAGAGACAGAAATGGACCTTTTGTCTGTAACTATTGATGGTCCCTCCCATTACTCATCTACTAGTGAAGGCTCATGCTCGGTATTTGGTTCACCCAAAACTCCAGTAGTCTTCTCACCCGGCATTCCCTTCCAGCCTGAAGAAGGACGCCGGGATGACAGCTTATCATCAAGCAGTGAGGACTCTGAGAAGGAGGATGACCATGAAAGAGAGAGGACATATTTTTATAGGAAACCACCGTAAGTACTGGCCTTAAGGAAGAACAGAGAAATTAAGAAAATGCAGTTGAAATATTGAAATATAACAAAATCTCTTACCAATGAAGGACTGAATTTTGCCTGAAGTGTGCATGTGAAGGCAGGGGAGCTTGTGTTCAGCAGGGGTGACTGTGAGGGAAGGAGGAATTCTGATCTGAAAAGGAGGCAACTGTTAGAAATTTTAGGGCTTGGAACAGAATAAAAGAACTGGAAAGTGAGGTTTTTTTAGCACGAGGCAGGTTTTAGTGGACCAAATGACAGATTTGTCAAATACAGAGTAACTTTCAGTTTTATAGAGTAATTAGACCTCTACAAAGTGCATGTAATAATGTAAATATTTACAAATATGAAACTTACTATATCACACAGAATCACAGAATCATCCTTTCAGTCTTTTTCTTGGTGGAGAATTTAAGAAAGGCTTAGTTCTTTGTGGTACCCTATACAAAGAAAGGATACTTAGTCATGTGTTAATGGAAGATGGATCTCTCTATTGCTGTGTATCAGATAAGGCCTTTTCCAGAAAAGTTCTTAAAATATTATATACTAAGTGTGGACATATTCTAAGAATGCCTCCTAGCATCCGTTCAGGTAGATGTCATACAAGCCCAGGTTGGAGGGCACCTCGAGGAGCATCTGGTCCAACCTTTCTTGGCAAGGGCACGGTCCAGACAAGATGGCCCAGCGCCCTGTCCAGCCAAATCTTAAAAACGTCCAGTGCTGGGGAATCCCACCACTTCCCTGGGGGGGGTTATTCCAATGCCTGATTGTTCTCATTGTGAAAATTTCTCCTTTTGCGTCCAGTTGGACTCTCCCCAGGGTAACTTGTACCCATTACCCCCCATATTTTTCATGTGACTCATTGTAAAACAGGTGTCTCCATCTTCTTTGTGGCCAGCCTTTAAATACTGGAACATGGTGATAAGATCGCCCCTAAGCCTAAGGTTTAAAATGTAATTCAGAGCCCTTGTCTTTCAGAAACAGATCTTGACCAATGATAACTTCAGTTTATTTGTATGCTGAGTTCTATGTGAATTTCGTGTTGAAGTAATTGTTTTTATAATACAAACAAGCCTATAACCAAAAAGAAAGCACGCTAATACCTAAGCCACAATTGTGCCTGTGCAGGAGTACCTCTCGCAAGAAAGCAACAGGCTTCGCTGCTGTCCACCAGCTGTTCACTGAGCGCTGGCCAACAACACCTACCAACAGAAGTATGACTGGCACAACCACGGAGAGAAATATTGACTTTGAACTTGATATCAGGGTTGAAATTGATTGTGGAAAATGTGTTCTGCACCCTACAATGCTTCAGCAGGAGCATGATGACATTAGCTTACGAAGGTAAGAAACGCGTTACTGAGGTGCCTTATGAAGAACAGGGTATGAGTACTTCATTCTGCTTTAGCTGTTAAGGCCGTCTGACACTTCCATCACTTAAGTTACGACCATGTGCATAATAATTACTCTTAAGCACTGGCCTGTTTGAAAAGCATAGAAGATGTATGTGTTAGCTGGTTACCATCACTTTTTTCATAGCAATTATCACTACTTCATAGCATGACCATAAGTTGCAACTGTTGAAGGCAGAGTATGGCATGGGGAGTTGCTTTTGTTCAGCAAGAATCAGCATAAGCCTCCTTTCTGGTTTTATTTTTTTAAATCATGTTTTATGTTTCATAAACAAAATGTTAGGCTTTCAAAGCACTTGGATTCTTTTTTTTTTTTTTCCCCAGCCTCCAAAGAAGTAACTTTACAACTTAGTGAATCCACATAATGGTGTGACTAATAGTGGGGCTACTAGTGTGTTTTCTCATGATCTCCGAGGGCTTCCGTTATTTTCTGAGTGTAAAAGCATGCTGATAGTATGTATATTAGATAATAAAGGATAATAAAAAATGCATTTTATTAAGTGCTTTACTTCTGATCTTAATGAGGTTTGATCTCATTCTCAGGTTTTTTATATTCTTTTTTCATGTGTATGTGATTTGGGATCTAATGGCAGCTTTACATTACTTTTAAAAATCTGATATGTTGTTAATAATATGGTGAATTTTAAGAAACTTATTTGTCAACACAGGTAATTCTTAACTAGTATAAGGAAATGAGACTGACTTGTTTTAACTCTAATTGTAAGAAATAGGAACAAATAAGAAATCCTTGTTCTTACTGAGAGAGAGGTATACATACATAGGAGAGCCTTAATTAGAAAGCAATTTGGTTTCTGTCTTTCCAAGACACTTTTTTCTAAGAATTGATACAAAGAATCTCTTAAGAACTTACATGAAGCCAGGCTTTACAGCAGAGAAGGAAAATTGCTAAGTGTTTTCTGCACATCAAAGATCACGTTGGGTAATGTATATGAACTTGACTGTAAGAGTACAGAGCATTGAAAGGTGTTTCTCTAATGACAAAATAATTTTGTAGATTTTACTGCTGAAGTAATGCCAAAATGAAAATAGCGAAACCAGAGTGGGCAGACAGAAAGGGAATGGAGGTCACAAAGTAAAGTGTAAAGCAGAGACTGAAATGCTTCCTTATATAGTTGATACTACAAATTTATTTTGGACATCTCTAAGGTTTTTTTTAATACTAGAAAATATACAGGTTTTAATATGAGTATTAAGCTTGCTTTAGTAACATGCAGTGTATTTTTTTTAGGAGCTACGACCGGAGTTCCAGAAGTTTGGATCAAGAGTCTCCTTCAAAAAAGAAGAAATTTCAAACGAATTATGCATCTACTACTCACTTACTTGCTGGCAAGAAAGTGCCATCATCTCTACAGACAAAATCTAGTGATGTGGAAACAACGGTGTTTTATATTCCTGGGGTGGATGTGAAGGTAAAAGGAGCCTGTAACTCAGCAGGGAAGCACTTGCTCTTTCTGCTCAAGTATGATTTCAAAGCAAATACACTGTTACAGGATGTACAAGTTTGTATACGCGGAGCACCTCGGCAAAATCTTTTTTCAGTTACGTAGATACTGCTGAAACAGGAACAATGATTTCTGTAATAGTACCTTGAAAACCGGTAGATGCTTTTACCCGCGCTTTCTTGGAGGGGGAAAACACAAAATCTTCTGTGTGCCACCAAAACAGAACCGTTGTCAAATGACGCTCCACAACAGTGTATGTGATATTACATAATGAAAAGAAGTCGGTTCCGTTAACATTTTGGGGTCTAAAATTAGACATTGCTTTGGATATTTTCTTCTCTGACAGGTAATTTCTGTTGTATGCCCTTTTTAAGTACAGGACGATCTTCTCACTGTTGGTAATTCATGGGAAGGGCAGCGTAGTAGTTGGCCCACACCACCTAAAGCTGTCTTACTGTGTCTTCTGTGTTGCTTATTACAGCAATCCCAGTCTTGGTATAAAAACTTTTTTTAAAGACAATGTTCTCTCAAACACCAGCAAACTGTACACTCCCTTGTTTGCAGTCGTTGTTTCCCTATCCTAGCGAGACAGGGTCTCAACAGACATGTTCTTGTATTTGTGATCTGATGTCCTAGAGAGTAAGAACAGGAAAAACAGGTCACTGCTGCATGGAAACGTCATGCAGTTCAGTTGAGGCAATGCCATAAATTAAATGCTCTTCACGTGAAACAGTTTGGCCTCTCTAGTCTTTCGATGTGGAAGGGCTATGTGTCTCCATCTTCCAGTATTCCAGGCTATCTCCTGAGATAACAGTTATGCCTCAGGCCCTGACCGTTGCTTTTAGTCAGATTCAGGAATAACTAAACATCCCCTACAGCTTCTGTTATGTTCTGTATTTTCATTGATAGTGCATTATGCACATGTAAGAGTTGTGAACTCTTGGAATATTTTATTATTTCTATTTTTATGCAGCTTTCTCTGTGGTGATGTTTAGTAGTGGAATAGTTCAGTAAAACAGAAAGCGAGCTATGTGGCAGGGACAAATAGTTAGTGGCCCAGGATGTGTATGACACTAACACAGCGGAGGAACAAGCTTTAGGCATTGTTCCTGACCAGTTAATTTCCTCTGTTTCTCTGTGTTTCCTTGATTAATTTTTTTTATAGTTTATTAATTTATCTATTTTTTGGTACAAAGATTTCAGATCTTTAGGTGCCCAGGCTGTATCTGTAGAACATGAATTGGAATGTAACGTATCTTACAAGGGTATTTTTGTAAATAATGAAAAAAATTTTATTTTGAAGGGAAGGAGTGACACCAAACTGCTGTATAGAAATTGAGCTACTTGTATGAAGTAAATTGATCTTTCTTTCCTTTCCAGTTGCACTACAACTCTAAGACTTTAAAGACTGAATCGCCAAATACTTCTCGAGGATCCTCTTTGCCAAGAACACTTTCCAAAGAGTCCAAGCTGTATGGTATGAAAGATACTGCCACATCTCCTCCTTTATCTAGCACTATCCACAGCAAGACTAACACCTTACTTCCTCCCCAACCCCCACCCATCCCATCAGGTACTTATAGTCGATAACCTTCTGAAACTATCATGGATATATATCTTTCCTTCGTGTAATCTACTGGCTTTAGATCTGTCTGCACGTTACCTGAAGCATTGTTATTTATCAGGTCTTAACTTTGGCTGCAGAAACCTGATCCCAAAAGCATGAATGCAGTTCATAAAGCTGCATTTTTAGAAATCTCTTGCCAAACCCATCTCAGTAGCGTCTCTGTCTCACTGTATCCCAGTGTTGGGCTGTCACTGCCTTCTCCCTGTTTTCATTTAACAAAATAATGCGTATTACTGGAAAGCAAAGTTTGAAGTAGCTGTATAAAAAGTGAATGCTGACTGCTTTATTCCTCATAATCCAAGAAAAAAAAATTTCAGATGAATCCTTGCTTCCACACATTGCACTATTCAAAGAATACTTCCAGATTTTAAGTGCCTTCTGCCGCACAAGTAATGTGTAAATTATTGCTTTCTGGAACTGGGTTATTTCTTGCAGTACTGAAGCAACTGTTTAGACGTATTTGTATTAATCAAAATACCAGACTAGTGTCCTCAGCTGTTGCAGGCCCTTAAATAACCCTGATTGGGAGTAACCTGAGTTCTATTATGTAAAGTTTTGGTTTAACTCCAATGATTCCTGTTTTCAAGCAGGAGTCCGTGGTTACATCATGTCAGATCTAGAGGTATGTAGATTGCACTTCCAGCTGCCGAGACATTCACTCTTCTCTCCTTTGGCATTTGAATATCGCTTTAAGAACAAAGCCCAAATTTTGTCAAAATCTGATGAGCTGGCCAAATTAATAATTAAAAGAAGTTGTGTGTGTGTTTCTTAGTTTGTTGTGTTTTGGTTTTTGTTTTTGTTTGTTTGGTTTTTTGTTTTTTTTATAAAACCGGTGGAGATGCTGGGAGAGAACAGTGAAATGGGGACACCTTCCTCAATTACCCATGCTGTTGAGCCATCAGCTCTTACTCCTTTTAAGTGTCCATCCTCTTTATTGTTACTAAATGTTGTGTAATCTCGGTTTATACTACTTTTCTTCAATTATGTTCTGTAATTTCCTATCTTCTTTCCAATCTTTGCCTTCTAATTTTTACCATGTCATGTCCAGTTACTGAGTCTTGTTTTTAATGTCTGTAAGCTCTGCCTTAGGTGGGGGGCTTACAGAAATGTCTCCCAAAACTAGGGATTGCAGTGACTGTATTTCTTTATGCATTGTATTTTTAGAAATGTTTATTAGTTCTGAATTGTTCTGAAACACATTTATTGTTTTCTGTAATACATCTCCTCTGGAATTGAAACCACCTTGTCTATATAATACTGGTCTCCAGTAAGAGCAAGATAGAATAATCTAGTCAGAGGCACTAGACAGAATAGTTTGCATAGAATGAAAATTTGGTGCTTGTGGTTTGGGGTTTTTGGGGTTTTTTTTAGCAAATAAAAGGATTTTTAAGCTCTGTTTTAGTTGTTTAGTTAATGTTTATGTTTTTATTGGAGGATTTAAAATCAATATTTTCATTTATGTCTATTCATTCCAATAGCTGTATTTCATAGGGACAGTAGTTGAGCTGGTACTGATACCTTCTGTGCATATTTATAGTTTGGTTAGTGTGGATCCAAGTGCCAGCTTCTTCCACAGATTTAGAAGACAATCTTTTTATTAGTTTATGTCTGGCTAGCTCCAAGCTTTTAGAAATGCTGGTGTAGAGTCTTTAGTTATTCTTTGCATAAATATGGTAGGACTTGACAGGACTTGACAGTTTTAATTTTTTGATGTATTTTCTCACTTAAAACTGACATTCTTCTCAGGCTCATGGATTTATTTTTCCTAATTCCACTTTCATTCCCAGTCAGCTGTGGTTACTTTGCATTGTGTATTTGGAGAAGAATTATGTGTGTCTGATTTATGTGCTGTTTTTTTAAAAAGCAAAATGGTGACAATGACATAAGAGTGCTTGGTCAAGAAAATGCACAATGGAATTACAGTCAAGCACGACAGGCTAATGGTTGCTTTTGCACAGTTTTCTTAGTGAAAACGTACGGCTTAATTTTTTCTAACTGACTTGATTTATACCCTTTCAGATGATGATACAAGGTATTAGAGGAAACAGCTGTTAGTTATGAACTGTCTTCTAATGTTTATCGGTCACAGTTGAGTGGTATTACATTAGACAAATTTATCTTTTAAATGTTGCAGCCAAAGGGAAAGGAAGTGGTGGAGTGAAAACTGCTAAACTATATGCATGGGTTGCACTCCAGTCATTGCCGGAGGAAATGGTGATTAGCCCGTGCTTACTGGACTTTCTAGAGAAAGCTCTTGAAACCATTCCAATTACACCCATTGAAAGGAATTACACTGGTAAGTTGCGTATTTGTGTTCTGGTACTCTACGCTTTTTTGTCTTCTGGTGGCTTTGAGCTGCTCTTCCCTTTAAATTCCACTTTCTAATGAGTTCTTGTACTTGTTAAAAGCTGTTAGCTCACAGGATGAAGACATGGGGCAATTTGATATACAAGATCCTTTGGAAGAGTCCACAACATCGTTAGTATCGTCCTCGACATCAGCATATTCATCCTTCCCTGTAGATGTGGTGGTTTACGTACGAGTTCAGGTGAGGTTTTAACTCAACATTCAGTATAGTAAGTCACTTCAGTTCAGTCTTCCAGACAATCCATGCTTCAAAGTTTGCTTTTTAAAAAAGAAAAAAATATTTTCAAGTGTCCTTTCTGAGATATTAACGTCTAGTGCGATAAGATGGGACTTATTTCAGCAGGGGTTCTGACATATTGTAGTCCCACGGAGGCCAAAGAAATGAGCTATTTTGAGAAGTCACAAAAGTTCTGCGTGTTTTTAATCATTACTTCTTCCTTGTCTCTTTCGGACTTTTTTGAAAATATCTTTCGTAACTAGTATTTCTATCCGTTGTTTATAGGTACCATTACAAAACACAAATAATAATTAAAGATTTTCTCGGTTTATATGGAAGATGTAGGAATGTACAGTTACCATCTACACGGCATTATTCATACTGCTTAATATTTGATGTGTCTGGGCTTTTTATATGTGTAAGAGAAAAGTGCTACTGCAAAGTGACTCAGAGCACTTGAGCTTAATATGAACGTTGCTATTGTATTTTTCCAGCTTGCTCAAACAACATTTTCTCCTGGTATAAATTTGATTTATATGTTCCCAAATTGGACCACATATTGTAACAGATGGAGTTTTTTATGCCTATGAAAATTAACCCCAACAATCTGTAGCCTCTCTCAGCTTTTACTTGCAAACTCACCCAGCCAAGGATGTGTTGAGGGGAGCTGAGGCTTTCAGCATCAGCTGAAGTGATTTTTCATAGTTCTCGTATGAGGGGAGCTATGAATTGGCTTGGGCAGGAGGAGAGAGGGTGACATACATGTCCTCTGCTGCACCCAGGCCTCCTGTGTCTAAGTTTTCCAAACACTGGTCCAAATAATAGCCCTGGTGCTGGAGGGATTCCCTGAAATTAATGTATCTAGATCAGGTTGTATACAGTTATCTTACTAATTCAAAACCAGTCCAAATTGGCTGTCATTTGCTTAGTTTTAAAAAATAAATACATAGCACTTTACAAGCCAAATTTGGGATTTTTTTAGTATTTTGTATTTGTTCATTGAATGCTTTGTTTTCTTTCTGTCTTTCAGCCCTCTCAAATCAAGTTCAGTTGCTTGCCAGTATCAAGAGTTGAATGTATGCTGAAGTTGCCTTCCCTGGATCTTGTTTTCTCTTCAAACCGAGGAGAACTGGAAACATTAGGCACAACATATCCATCAGATAATGTGTCAGTTGGTGGCAATACTTCACAGACTGGCTCCAAGAATTCAGTCAGTAAATCTGGAGCACCAGGTAATATGTGTATGAATGTTTATCCTATGTACAGCTTGTAGCATAAATAAATACAATGTTCTGTTGTCTAAGATTAGAGCAGATGAGCTTTTATACACCTTAAAGGTAGACATTTGTGTGTTGGTGAGTCAGTAGGATTTCTTCATGTTGTATCAGTTTCCAGTAAAAGCTTGCACACGTACAGTATATCAGAGTTTTTCTTGCATTGGTTAAGTAAGGTCATTTATCTCTTACAAAAGGCTAGCATCATAGCTACATAGAATATTAAACTATGTTGCTGCTACAAGGGCATAATTTGATGTGCACTTGGGCTGTTTAATATTGCTGTTAACAGTATTATTTCTCATTTGAAAATGCTTTTGTACCAAAAATAACTTTTGCCAAAAAAATTTGACTTCAGGTTCATCACCTGGACTGGGCAGCCCTCTGGGCAGAACACGGCACAGCAGCAGTCAGTCAGACTTGACGACTTCTAGTAGCAGCTCTTCAGGCCTGAGTTTTACCGCCTGCATGTCCGACTTTTCCCTTTACGTGTTCCATCCATATGGAGCTGGAAAACAAAAATCTGCTGTTACTGTTCTAACCCCTGGATCGGGAGCCTTAGGTAAAGGACAAGTTTTTGTTTGTTTTAATGGCCATTGTTCAAGTTTGGCGTGGTTTTCTGAACCGAAGGTTTGAAAAGGTCACAGAAGATTAAACTTTTTCCTTTCTGTTTCTAGGTAATGTGGATGAGGAACCAACTTCTGTCACTGGCCGGAAGGATTCTTTGAGCATTAACCTTGAGTTTGTGAAAGTCAGCCTGTCACGAATAAGGCGTTCAGGAGGTTCCTCCTTTTTTGAGAGTCAGTCTGCGAGCAAAGCTACCAGCAAGATAGATACTACATTGATAAACATATCCGGTAAATGCTTGTTTCATTTTAATCCCTTCTCTTCAGCTAATTAGGGAGCTGCTGTTCCAGTAGCAGACTTTACTATCAGCAGCTTCTATAGATGTTACAGCAGAGCCATCTACTTGTAGTGTGTAGTAAAATTTTTCTTCTACAACAGGAGAGTGGAATGAGTGAGCAGCTCGGTGGGCATTTGGCTGTTGGCCGGAGCCAACCCACAACAGAGATAAAGCCTAGATTGTTTGTGTTTAGTCAGCTTGAAGTCATTTTAGTGGTATTCCAGATATTTCTGTCAGATATTACCAGAAGGAAGTGATTTCAAGTCATTATTTAGTAGTAATCTTAGTTTGTCAACATTATTTATATGATCTTAGCATGCAAAAGAAGGTGGTTATTTTCCACCTAATGGCACAACGTGTGTATTTCTTCAGCTATAAAATCCCATAGTATACATTAGCTTTGTACCTGACAGAGTAGAGTCTTTGAATAGTATTGTTTGTCGAGCAATATCTATGCCCTTCATTTTTCAACTCTGTTTCTTGAGAACCCCAAAAGTCTGTATGACTGCAGGTTGGTAATCTATGACTACATAAATGGCAATGAGATGGAACATGTAATGCTAATCTGTTCTCACTTCTCACATAATTTGTTTCAATGACAAGTTCAGTAGCTTGGTTAGCTTTTAAATATTTTTATATTAGCTATACCAGTGGTTCTTGTTTCCCACCCCCCAAAATGAAATCCTTCTTCCTAAAATATTTCATGTATTCCTCATTGTCACCCATCATTAGAGTTAAAATAGAGGGTTTTGAAATCCTTAAACTCCAAATATGACATTTCATTTTGGAGTGGCCGCTGCTGGTGATCAAAAAGAGCAACGGTAATCCAAAAATGTAAGTTTCTTAGAGCAATCAGATGAAGGGACAATAAATCACTAAGAAAAAGTGTACGATGAGGCTTTGGGCTGGGTTTCAACTAGTTTGGTGGAATTCTGTGTTTCCTCAGTGTGTTACACTGCACTAAGTCACTTGGTAAAGGTAGCAGGCAATGGCAGTATGCCCACAGTGTCTATATGGTATGGCTTCCATAAGTCTCCACATCCAGGAGCGAACAACAAGGGAGTGAACTTGAGTGGGCCACCCAGTGCCCTAGGGTGAATGCTCTTTTATGTCACTGTTCCATCAGAACAGAAAGGTGAACAAACTCAGATTCTCATTGCTGATTCATCTCTTAATACATTTCATAACAGAGATAAACTAGTATAATAATAGAACTTTATGTTAAAATTATTCCCAAAGTTCGTTAAGCTTTCAGTTAGACCTAGTATGGTAAACACTAAGCACCCGTTTTCATAGTCCTCTCTTCAGGTATTTCACAGCTGTCTTTTGTTACCTGAGTAGGAGAAAAATCTTTTACAACACTTGCCCTTTTTTTCCTTTTTTGTATGAAAACCAGAAATAGTCTAGTTTTCAAGCAGCCTCTCCATAGAGGGGGGGGGAGGAATCAAAGTGGATTATGTAGCACAATTCAATGTGTTATTATAGAGATGATATACTGTGCTTATTAAAAATGACAGCAGAATCTCCTAGGTCACAAGCTGCCTTCTCAGTGTTCTTCATGATCTTTTTTCTTTCTTTTTTTTGACATTTGCTGTCTGGTTTTCATCTTAATTCTGGCTGCACTGCTGCCTGTCTAACTTGGTGGTGTAGTTCTGCAGTCTGTGTTCAGTTACTAGCTGTCAGATTTTCAGATTTTACCACCTTGCCACCTGCTGCCTGTGAGGCTACAGCATGAGCTGGGCTCCTGAATACTCACAGAACCCTGAAGTGAAAGTGGGGTTTCAAGATTGTTACTTATTTATTTTTCCCTCACTGCACATGGGGGTCCTGACTTACCGGGCGAACAGCAGAATGGTTGTGATTAATCTGCCCTGAAAGCCCTCGAATGAGTCTGCAGCACATACAGCACAAGTAGGACCCAACATCAGTTATGTCCTTAGGTTCCATGTTGCCTTTATGAAATGTGTTTGTATCTAATACTGGATTGGGAGAAATGGCAACACCTGAGGACAACTGTTTTCTCATTACAGCAGACACTATACTGCTAGGTAAGAATATACTGTACACGTCTTAATTAGATTTGGTTACCAAACCCTGTTACTACTGAGCCTTTACAGTTGTGTGAATATGCATTTTTCTTTTTCAGCTGTCTGTGATATAGGATCTGCTTCCTTTAAATACGATATGCGCCGGCTCAGTGAGATTCTAGCCTTTCCAAGGGCTTGGTACAGGAGAAGCATTGCTAGACGGCTTTTCCTAGGTGATCAGACAATAAATCTGCCAGGTAAGAGACTGCTGCTTATCATGAAAAACCTTTTTTTACAAGGGGTTATAGTAGGAATTTTATAAACATTTATTACCTGTGTATTATTACATACGTGACTAGATAGAAATGTATTATGATTTACTCCATATGCAGTCACTCTAATAAAGTTTAATAGAAAATCCTAGAAAGAAGAAATGGAAAACTTCTAAAGTATGTCATTGAATTATTTAAAAAGCTTATATTAATGAAGACAGTAGAAAACCTTTAGTTACAATAAATGAGATATATTTTGACACTCTCCAAATACTTCTTAGTACGTGGAGGATATTGCTAAACAAAAATGAAGTACTTTTTCTGCCTTTCATGTGCTGCTCTTTTTCTAGTAGCATCGGGTCCTGGCACACCAGATTCGATTGAAGGGGTAAGCCAGCACCTTTCTCCTGAATCATCACGGAAAGCGTACTGCAGGACGTGGGAGCAGCCCTGCCAGTCTGCTTCCTTTACGCACATGGCACAGTCACCTAATGTTTTTAGTGAACATACTGCAAGCAGCAGTATGTCACCTGGGACAGCATCTCACAGCTTAAAGTCTCCTGCTGTTACAAGATCCAGGAGTGTGTCTGACTCTTCAGTGCCTCAGAGAGGTTAGTAGACGATGTTCTATTTAGGTTTTTAAAGTATTTCCACCTTTTTTGTGGGAAAAAAAGTATGTCATTACTGCTTTGTAGAAAGCAACCGTAAAATACTCTTTTTCCACTGTGCCTGGGAGTAGTGAGTCAATGGCTTAGGGAAAGGAAAATGTCTGAAATGGATGAATCAAAGTGTAGTTTGTTGGAATAATGTCTGTAAAATTGGAGTTCCGTTTACTAGAGCAGGAGTTGTTTAGCTGGGATTAGATGAGCTCTCCAGCTTAATTTGATTGCACTGTCATTTTCTCGAGTCTCAATTCTCATCCAAGCAATTACCACACTCTTAGCAGAGGGTCAGTATCACAGCTCACAGGTGAGGTCAGTTATTTCATTTCATCTGAAATTTTGGGCTCAGACTAGGAGGTCTAAATAAGGGTCGTTTCTATATAAGAAAGTAACATTTAATTTCTTTTACTACAAATGTTATTGTATTGTATCTTATAGCAGTGTAGCACTGGCTGTGTGGAATATTTTTAGCATTAGATATAGATAGGAGATTTAAAAGTGTGGTGCTGCTTTGAGTCTAGGAAGAATATCTGTGAGAAAGGAAAGGACAGGTATTTTGGCTATTTAGAATGCAAGCAAGCTGTTACATATGAAGGCTTTTAGGAGAATGCACAGTTGGAGAAAGAGTGGCTTGTTGATAAGCCTGTGCAAAATTGCATTTCCTATGAGTATTGCCAGGATTTTTGTGAGAAGAGCAAGGAAACTCCTAATACTTGAAATTCTGACTCGGCACCTGTGCAAATAACTGCTACCTGAATATCTGAATACAATGGTATTTTTAAACACCTAAATAATTTAAAATAGGCTCTTGCATGACTGACTGCAAATTAAAAATTGTTTCTCTTAAAGATATTAGTAAAAATAAATGTGTAAATGAGTCAATTTCTATGACAACTAAAGCAAAGCATATTGCAAATCTTCTCGTTCTCACTTATGCTCGCTCATAGTTTTGTGGCACTCCTTAAATACTGTGTTAGTCTGTCCTTTTGTAATATGTATTATGGGTGTATTGTGCCAGTTTTTCCTAGCATGTGGAATAATTTATTTTTTTTTGTCTACTTTTTGGTTTAGATACTCTCTCAAAAACATCAACTCCATTTAATAAATCAAATAAAGCTGGAAGCCAGCAAGGAACACCATGGGAAACACTGGTTGTATTTGCTATGAACCTAAAACAATTAAATGTTCAAATGAATATGAGCAACGTAATGGGCAATACCACGTAAGTATAGAACAAGATCAAGCGTGTTTTAACAGATGATGATGTTTGAGGGGGCAGGCAGGGGCAGCAGGGAGGTGTGGAACGTTTTCCCCACAGACTGTGTAACAGCCTGTTGTCTTCCAGCTTTAAAATCCTAACTCTTTCAGTTTTGAACTGTGAAGCCCCTCATGAATACTGCTAGATGCCTAATCCTAAAGTTGCATATGCCTAAACCATGTTATTTACTGCTTTCCAGTAAATAATTTTCAGTTTCTTTCTTGACAGCCAGGAAAACTGTTGTCTGTTTTCACCTCTGTTCTAGGTGGACCACCAGTGGTTTGAAAAGCCAGGGTCGTCTATCTGTGGGTAGTAGTAGAGATCGGGAAATTAGCATGTCTGTTGGCTTGGGAAGATCACAGTTGGACTCCAGAGGAGGAGTTGTCGGAGGTACCATAGATGTTAATACCCTGGAGATGGTGGGTAAGTTGGAAAGCTGCATGGTAGTAGTATGTGCTCCAGACAATAAATGTGAAAAACTAAAGATTATATACAGTACCTCACTTCATGAGCCTGCTAGTATATAATCCAAAACTTTGGATGTTTACTTGTGCATTCTGACTATGAAACACGCTTTGAGCGTGTCAGCTCCTTCTAGAATTTCACATGCTTACAGCCTGGGAAATGCAAAACTGGCTTTGGAGGGAGGCGCTCCACCAGAGTCATGACCTTGCATTTGGGAAAAAAAACAGTGCTTTCTCAGTCCCTCTGTATCGTGATGATGGCATAAGGGTGATATCACTGCAAAACCTGCTTTTCTTATCTTTAGTGCTTTATTTCTGTATTGCTTTCGTTCTGTTTCAGCTCATATTTCTGAACACCCAAACCAACAGCCCAGTCATAAAATCCAAATCACCATGGGTTCTACTGAAGCACGTGTTGACTATATGGGGTCCAGTATCCTAATGGGAATCTTCAGTAATGCTGATCTTAAACTACAGGATGAATGGAAAATTAACCTGTATAATGCTTTGGACTCGAGCATCTCTGATAAAAGGTAATACTGCTTCTTGTGTTTAAAATGTGTAATGTTTGAAAAGGTGAAGTTCTGCCTGTGTCTTCTGTCTAGTATTGCTAAGCAAAAATTGCTAGAAAGCAAAGGGTTCATTGTTTGTTGTTTGTTTGGGGGGTTTTTTTTGTCACTAGGAAATAGATTAACTGCTAATATTCTTGCTATTCTTAATATCTAGTGAGATATTTGTCCATGGGGACTTGAAGTGGGATATCTTCCAAGTGATGATTTCAAGATCTACTACACCAGACCTAATAAAAATAGGAATGAAACTCCAGGAGTTCTTTACTCAGCAGTTTGATACAAGCAAGCGAGCTTTGTCCACCTGGGGACCTGTTCCTTATCTTCCTCCCAAGACAATGGCCAACAACTTAGAGAGAAGCTCCCATGAGCAATGTAAGTGCTACAAAACACAGTATACTTCCAAAGTAGAATTTTTTAATTGCAAAAATTCACCTGAGCAACTTTATACGTGCAAGTACGACTATTTGACTTGAAATAGTTTCTTCAGTACATTTTTCCTGTAAATTTGGGCTGGCAATAACCTTTCAGTGAAGAATGCAAATATCTTGAGTACGCTGCTAGACTTGGGGTGCAATAATGAACTAACTTAGGTTATTTTGGGGTTTTAGTTAAAAATCTGTATTTTTGTTTAAAAAATAAAAGATTTTGGTTTTTTTTTAGTTTTCAAATTACTTCAATACAGTTGAAATAGTTTTCAAAGTCTATTTTGAAGTCCATTTCATAAAAAAAAAAAAACAGTTCTACTTTGAGCAGCAGTGCAAGTGTGATGTTACTCTTACTTTCTATTAATTATGAGCTGAAACCATAATTTGTCTGAACACAATGAGTCATTGATCTCAAAGTGTGCTTGTTCAGGTACTCTTAAGCTACAACCACCTTAGATCGTGGAGATGGAACGGTGTTAATAAGACAGATTATAATATATATCACCCATAATTCCATGTTTTATTATAAATATGGCAGCAATCTTTTCTGTGTCTTTCTCTTTCCTAAAGTTTGTTCTTGTTATTGCATGTTTACTTTCTAGTGTTGGATGCAGCCCATCATCGGCATTGGCCAGGAGTTTTGAAAGTGCTCTCTGGGTGCCACATATCCTTATTTCAGATGCCATTGCCAGAAGATGGAATGCAATTTGGAGGATCCATGAGCCTGCACGGAAACCACATGACGCTGGCTTGTTTTCATGGGCCTAATTTCCGCTCAAAATCGTGGGCCTTATTTCACCTTGAAGAACCCAATATTGCATTTTGGACAGAAGCCCAGAAAGTTTGGGAAGATGGTAAGTTAAACCATTTCCTCACTTTTCTAATTTCCCTCAAATGTGTTTTAAGAATATATTGATACGTAAGAAGAAATCAAAGAAAAACTTACTTTCTTTAAGTCTGAATCAACATTATTTCCCCCCAATACACCACTCACTTAAAATAATAACCTGTTCCCTCTCCATCTTTATAACATTTGCTTTATCTGTGGAATAAGGCAAAGTGCATTTTCAAATATACTAGGTATGTCCCTGATAATATGCCTGCGAAGTGGTTTGTCTGCCTTGTTAATTGCATGTCTGTGTTTATGTAGTCCTTTGTTTCTGTATGATAAATTTTGGTGGTCTTACTGCTTAGATTTGTCTTCATACTGAAAAGTTCTTACTGTCCGTAGCTACTAAGGATGCAATTTTTCTGTTGTTTGCAAGCTTTATACCAGTTTTTAAGGCCACTGGCACACTTAATTATTCACGTAAAATACCTATGTGAGGAGAGGAGAAAGAGAAGAAATCCTACCACCCTTACCAAGCTGCTTTTTCCATTTTTTCTCCCCCCCCCCTGCCGCCCACACCTTGGATGCAGGCACTAGCGAACACTCCACGTATATTGTGCAAACCCTGGACTTTCATCTGGGTCATAACACTATGGTCACCAAACCATGTGGAGCCCTCGAAAGCCCGATGGCGACAATCACAAAGATAACAAGGCGCCGCCATGAAAACCCCCCCCACGGAGTTGCCAGCGTGAAAGAGTGGTTCAATTACGTTACAGCCACAAGGAACGAAGGTCAGATTCATGCTCGTTAAGTTTTGGGATCGCTCTGCTTGCCAGACAGCGCAGATCGTGCTGTTTAAGAGCTGCTAAATTTCAAGTGGGCGACAGGGAGATGTGAGTTTGAAATGATGGAAGTTGTTTCTTCTTGAGACCCTTACGTTCACCAGTTGTTTACCAGTTATGGTCACCAGTTGTGATCTTGTAACATGAGGATATATTTCACTGTATGTGAAGGATTTATGGATTAAGCTGAAGTAGGGATATACTTTAGGCTTCTATCACCACTCACAACTAACACTTGAAAATTACTCATCCACCTAAAGCTTTTCAACCTTCAGCTTCTTTAGACCTTAAAAGATTTGGAATCATGTCTTTGTATCATTGTTAATTGGAAAATAAAACTTTCAAGGTAATGTTAAAAGAAATCCTAAAGTACAGCTGTCGCTATCTCATTCACAAGCCACACAATCAATAGAGGATAGCAGTGGAATTTCTGTGAAAGGGTGAATAGCAGAATAAGGCATATAGTGAGAAATGAGCAGATGATATTTTCTTGCAGAAAATATTTTTTAAATTATTTATATACTACATTAATGTTTGTTCCTTTTGAAGGACACAGCAGGATGTAGTGGTTGAAGTCCACAAACAGAGGCGCTGTCTGTTAGATGTTTTTATGTAGCTCTGTTTTGCTACATCAGGAGCATTTTAAGTTTATAAACAACAACATTTGCCCGTTTGACCTTTTGTAGCCGTGTGTTTGGGAGCGGGATAAAGGATATAATCTTAATAATTGTACCCCAGCCGTTTCACAATGAAACGGTAACCTTTCTGAGTAGTTTGTCTTGTCACAATTTTAACAACTGAGAACTAATTCAAGGGATATTGGATGTATACTATAGTAAAAGTCGCGTGACGAAGCTGGATTCCTGGTCAGCAGTGATTTCTGACAGCAGTGCTGCCTTGGTGAATGTAGGTATTGATTCATCAGAAGCATTTATTTTCGTTTTAAGTACTGACATATTTTCACACACAAAGGGCACACTTCGAACCCATACAGTCTGTATCTCACTCAACTGAAAGCTCATTACTAGAACAGGGTTGTGATAGGGTGGTCGGATGAATATTTCCAAAAAAACTTCCAAAAAACGAACAAAGATTCTTAGAAGTGCTTTGGTGTTATGGTACTGACAATTTCCTCCCCCCTTCTTACTGAGATGTATTTTGCGAAAATTTGTCACCCTCTGTGCTGACAAGAATAAAGACTTTTTAATAAAGACTACTGAATTCAGGAATTTCCCCTTGTCCATGTAGAGTTAAACCTGCTTCGAAACGTTGACGCTAACAACCCGGAGAGCAGCACAACAGTGAAAAGCTCAAGCTTGCTGAGTGGCTTCAGAGGTGGGTCCAGTTACAACCACGAAACTGAAACCATCTTTGCATTGCCAAGGATGCAGCTGGATTTTAAATCTATTCATGTTCAAGAGCCCCAGGAGCCTTCATTACAAGGTGCAGTAAACATGATTTGTTTTTTTCCTTGGTCCAAAGCTATTTCTCATAAATGAGGAGTTAAATACAAAGCTACTGTGCTGGGATTTAATCTGAGAATTCCTGCAGATCTGTAGGAAAGGATACCATTTCATAATAAAAGGTAGAGGGAATTCTGTTGAGAGAGTGAAGATCCAGTCCAGAGACTGGTCACTATAGAAAAAACTTACTAAGAGAAATTAATATGAACCTCTCAGCTAGGCTGGCTATTTTTAGGGGGTTGGTTTCCTTATTTTTATTAAAATGTAAAAGAGGAGGACCATTCTGAAAAAGGGAATATGAGATAGGAACCTTAATTTTATGGTCTTGTTTTCTAAATGTTATCTTCAGACTGCGGTTGGAACTGGGAAATAAGACTCCTGAAGGTATAAGACATGAATGTAGATGTTTATCTTTGCTGAGCTGTGGTTTTACTCCATACCTGATCCTGGATAATATTGCTAGATAAGTCAACCTGTGGGGTTTGGTTGTTTTTTTAATAGCCAAAGTAGCAAAATCTGCTATCAGCTCTTCTTATTGGCTTGAACTGATAGCATAGCACAAGCTAGTGGTACTGCTCCAGGTCGACTTTGCACATTGAGGAGGATCAAGGGTGCTACCTGGTAGTACTTCTTTATTTTCAACGTCTTTTAGAAGTTACTCTGATGGGAAAACTTTTAAAAATGCTGAGGCTGCTAAACACAGATGTTAATTGTGGTCCTTCCTCTCTTTTGAGTCTCTGGTTCAGTAAAAGCAATGTCATTTTCAAACGATTTCTGTTCAAATTCTGTGTACTTTCGTGTATGCTGTTCGTACTTCTAAGTGTATTAATACTGCGTTTATCTGACTGCAGATACAAGTGTTAAACCAAAGGTGGAATGCAGTGTAGTAACTGAATTTACAGACCACATTTGTGTAACTATGGATGCTGAATTGATCATGTTTCTGCATGACTTGGTATCTGCTTATCTAAAAGAAAAAGAAAAAGGTAAGTTGTTCCTTATGAAGTAACGCTCGTCTGACAATCTGCAGTTGTCAGACTATTTGATAGTAAATATTTTCATAGTTTTTAATAGTCGACTTGTTAAAAATGGACTTAATTTTTAAATAAGTTAAGCCTAACTTTGCTTCCTTTGAAATCAACAGAATTAGTATTAAATGTTCTTGAAACCTGGACTTAATGCTATGAAATTATAGTTACCTCTTTCGATCGCTGATAAGTGGGACTTAACTGTACAATAACAAAAAGCTTTCTCTGGGTTATTTTAGGCTGAAAGCCAAGAGCTATTTTGGCGCTTCTCAGGGTGCAGCGTCGTTCAGGAAATACTTGAGCTGATGTGAGGTCAGCTCCTGTAGGACTGGAAGCAGAGTAGTTGCGTACAAAGCTCCGAACCTCGCAGTGTCACTACGCCGACGTGCCACCGCTGCGCAGGGAGCTGTACTAGGATCTCTGTGTGGCGCTTGGCTACGCTGTGTAGGTACAGCAGGTTGTTCAGAAACGAGTCAGTCGCTTCCAGTGCTGCAGAGCACAGACACGCTCCTGGATTTCTGTGCCTTACCCACTACTGAGGAGCTTGTGCTAGTTACTCCCAAGTCACCATCTTGCTCCTGTTTTGACACCTGGTGTTTAGTTTAACTTCCTTTTTGTAAGACAGTGTATCAGGATGAAAACTGTTTTAGGAAGCTACGTTACTTTTATTGCAGTCCTTTCATCGAGGGAGTTTCTTTCAAGACATGCATTTTGCCGAGTTCAGAATGCCTCACTTTTCCATGTGAATATATTCAGTTTTCACACGTGCGTTCTTAAGCAATGTGGGGTCTTTGCTAAGAAGAGCAAATTGAAGGCGAGTGAGTTTGATGTACACATAAAGTGTGCCGAACAGTGTGGTATTTTTTTGTTGTTGTTGTTGTGGCAGATTTAAGGTGAATAAACAGTGTGGAACTGACTGTGCTCTGTGATTATTATCTGGTTTATTATTATATGCAATATAATTATTACTGCATGTTGAAGGGAAGGGCATCACCTAGTGGCTTTAATGCTTTACAGGTATTTATTGCCACAAGTATCTAAACCCTAGTGAATTAAGATTGGAAAAGATAGTAATGACCCCTGTAGGTGTTGATCGTAGATAAAATTCTCAGACATTAAATTTACTATAAGTATTACATAATTCTGTATGATATCAGATGAGATATTACTGAAATTAAAAGCTGCTTATTGAGGTTTTAGAACTTTGGATCTTAAATTAAGATTTTCTAAATTTTGCTACAGCAATCTTAGTCTAGAGTCTCATTTCTATACCTTTTTCTTTAAAGGCTGCCACAAGATGTGGCATGGTAATGTATGTGTATAAATGATGAGTTACCACCACAGTGAAAGCCACACATTCTGTTCTTCTGGGGTGTGTGAAATTCAGTGTTGTGCGTAGTAGTTTGTGTTTCTTACCGAACTGCATACGAAAGGTAACATTTATTCATGTGATGTAACATGATGTGATGTATAAATGTAACACTTACATGAAGTAGAACACATTAAATTCCGTATTTTGAAAGTTTATTTTTATAACCAACAGTATAAAAATCTGTGTATGTGTTACTGGGTACAACAGAGCTAGGAATGCTTCCTAAAAGCACTTGAAGTAAAATATCCAGCAGTGCAGAAACTAACAAAAGGGGAAGGTAACTGGGTTTTGGTGGAATTTTGTCAGAAAGTTTATTTTCAAGCTATCTTAAATCAAAATTCAATCCAAATTCACAGATTTGTTTTTATTTTATAAAATATGTTGTTTGGAGGAGAAGGAGCTGCTGTTCCTTTTCTGTATCCCAGGACTTTAACTCAAGTAAGAGCTGGGTTCAGGTCCCCTTGATGCCTTTGGATGAAGATTTACCTTTATTCCCCCACCATCCTCCTCCTCAGAGACTACTCTGTCAATCTAAAGTAATAGTCCAAACTAGGAGTGTGTCTGAATTTTGCTTCTGGAATGTGAGACACTTTCTTGAATGCCATGATGAATTTTAAAGAAAACGCCTGTATCCGGATGCTTTGGGCTGGCAGAGAGAAAGAAGAATCCCACGCTCCAGGGTGATGCAGTGTCTGTTACAGTTTCCATAGGGTATTTTTTACTAGTGCTTTGTTCAAACGAAAACTGCTTGCCAGAAATTCTATAAAGCTGAAACACAAGGGGGTTGTCTCTTGAGATTTGTGCTTGCGTTTTATTTAAATGATGTACAAAGAGGAATCCAGGGAGATGCTCGTGACTGACTGGTGTGGGGTTTTTCCTCTCTCCATGTTGTAGCAATTTTTCCTCCTCGCATTTTGGCTGCTCGTCCAGGGCAGAAAAACTCCGTTGGTGTTCTTGAGGACAGCTCCACTGACAAAGAGGCAGAGGAAAGCATTACGTACACTACAGTCGACTGGAGAGAATTTATGTGCAATACTTGGCATTTGGAACCCACGCTCAGGTAACGAGCAGGCTTCTCTGCAACCCTCTGTGCATTTTATCTGTGGGTACTGTCCTGCAAACCACAAGGGTTTCCAAGTTGATGCTGTTCAGCTCCTAAGAGGATCAATCACGTGGGTGCTTTGGAGATTTGTCTTTGGCTATTTGTGCTGCTGGGGAAGATACCTGCTACAGGACGTGAAAAAAGCTGGATAACGCAATTATCTGTTACATCAATTCACCTCGAGATTAGAATTTAGGCAGACGAAAGATATTGTTGGAGGCTTTTCAGAAAAAGATATAGTAAAATTAAACTCACTAAGGACCACAGATTGGCGTGTTTCACTCTGCCCTACCACAGTCAATTAACTTCCTGCCATATAGTTTTTCATCTCGCAGTTTTCCATTTTTGGCATTCCAGTTTTAGTTGTTCTTTAAGCAGTCACCTTAAAATAAAAAAGCACTATGTACTAGCTGCTCTATGGCAGTTTAAACTTAGCACAAAAGCATAGTGTGTATAGCAGCAACTCGCTGCTCTCAGTAACCACTTTTAATCACTGAAAAAGACTTTTCTCTGTGTCAGGGTTGGTTTGGTTTTTAACCTCTGCTGACACTGCTGGAGCCCCCAAGTGTTCATTCACGTATCAAAACGCCACATCAACCCAGGCCAAACAAACTTTTGACAGCTGGCATTTTGTGTTAGCAGTAATAATAAATCAATTTCAGCGTGATCTGGAGGCAGCCCAGTCTGGTTTTTTGCCTCCTTGAGCATCCTCTTCCTCTGAGAAGATACTCCATTGGTCATCTTGAGCTTATCCGTATAAATTAAGTTTGAAACCATGCCTGTTGGAATTAAGTTGGTCAGAAGCAACAACGGTAAAAATGGATGTTTGGTTTATACAAATGCCAGTTGCTATATTTATATATTTAAGATTGAGTCCCTGTTTATTGTTTCTAGATTAATATCCTGGACTGGGAGAAAAATCGATCCCGTCGGTGTTGACTACATCCTCCAAAAGCTGGGCTTTCACCACGCAAGGACTACTATTCCTAAGTGGCTGCAGCGCGGTGTCATGGATCCTTTGGACAAAGTTTTGTCGGTCCTTATAAAAAAACTTGGTACTGCACTACAGGATGAAAAGGAAAAGAAAGGAAAAGACAAAGAGGAATACTAAATATAATGTGACAACCGTAATTCCGTTTGATTTTATCAAAGTGTTTTATTATATTTTAAGAATTTAAATATGGTTTAAAGAGAAACCTTAACAGCTTTTTGCTACTCTATTTAAAACTTACATTGTGAGTAACTGTTTACTGTGGTACATGATACCATTCTGTATTTGAAGTTATTGCATGATGATGACCAATGTATATTCTGTGAAGGAATAGCTGGAACACTGTAAATCTGCTCCTCAGCGTCCACTGTTTTATGTGCAATATGATTCCTGCATCTTCAAAATACTTGCAGATTAACTGTGAATTTTCATAAACTATTTGCCATAACACAAACCCCTCGTTGATGTGACCGGTAAATTGATCTGTCAATGTAGACATGTGTAAATTATATATATATATATATATAACTTATGAAACTGTGATTGCCTTAGTGCTAAAAATCATGAAGTTTATTACACTTGTAATAAAATTTAACTACTGTACAGGGGCGTTTTGTTGTTGTAGTTGTCCAACTTCTCTGATTAAAAAAAAAAAAAAAAGTGTTTTAAGTGTA